AATCCACCAAGTCCAAGACAGTCCAAGACCGGTTAGACTTCTTGCTTAGCACGTCATCAAGAGGAGAACACGGGAAGCTTATCTGCACCACCAAAGGAAACGGTCCAAATCCACCAAGTCCAAGACAGTCCAAGGCCGGTTAGACTTCTTGCTTAGCACGTCATCAAGAGGAGAGCACGGGAAGCTTATCTGCACCACCAAAGGAAACGGTCCAAATCCACCAAGTCCAAGACAGTCCAAGGCCGGTTAGACTTCTTGCTTAGCACGTCACCAAGAGGAGAGCACGGGAAGCTTATCTGCACCACCAAAGGAAACGGTCCAAATCCACCAAGTCCAAGACAGTCCAAGGCCGGTTAGACTTCTTGCTTAGCACGTCACCAAGAGGAGAGCATGGGAAGCTTATCTGCACCACCGAAGGAAACGGTCTAATCTTTGACCACATTTCATGAAGAGCTCCCCAACCTCCTCCTTCCGTTGAGGATAAGTCGTGATCTCCACCAAGAATAATCTCTTAGCTGCGATAAAGAAGCCTTGAGGATATGTCATGATCTCCACAAGAATGATCTCTTAGCTGCTATAAAATAGCTCCAAGCTGGTAGAAAGGGATATCACGCTCCATCAGAGACTTACAGAAGACGAACCGACTACCGGAGATTACTATTTTCTTTGATTCTCCATTCTCTCTCTCAAAGCTTGAATCTCCATTCTCCATACCTTTGAATCAATAAAATACCCGGCGACTGAAGCCATTGAAGAGTGGACGTAGGTCGAATTGACCGAACCACTATGAATTGTGTCTTATTTAATTTTTTCGTTGATTTCATTGCATTTATTATCTACACTTGACAGGTGGTGTGCAAAACCATTTTTGTGCATCATCAATTCTAACCCGAGTTAAGCTCATAATGAACCGAACCCGAGTAACTTGACTATTTTATATCCAAATAATCCTAGTAGTCTTGTTTTTTAAACGAACCTAAAAAATCATTTAAATTTAACTCGTTTAGAACACAAGTCGAACTCGAATCAAATTATATTCAAACTACACTCGAATAACTCAGCTCAATTATAAGTCATAGCTTTCGGGCATGTCACATAGTGTGAGTACCATATTGGCATAAAGAAATTTAAATAAGGGAAAATTTGAAACAATCGGTAAAGTTGGGGGGTAATAATGCTTTTTCACAACTTGAGTTAAGTTTTTTTTTTTTTTTTTAAGGTCGGGAACTTGAGAAAAGTTGAAAGTTTATGAAATTCCATTCATGTGGAATCTATTACCAATGTCCAGCTATTTTAGAATATCTATATCAAAATACAACACTTTTAAATTTGTTTGTCAAATCACAGGAATTTTTCANTCTATTACCAATGTCCAGCTATTTTAGAATATATATATCAAAATACAACACTTTTAAATTTGTTTGTCAAATCACAGCAATTTTTAAAAGCGAATATAACAATTCCGTCGCTTTTTTGTTAAAAAAGAAAGTAAATAGTGGAAAAAGCATGGTTACTAACCACGCTTTTTCCACTTTTTCCCACAAAGTCATCCATCTCACCCTCGACCCGGCTGGTTACTCCGGCACTCTCTCTCCTCTCATCTCCAAACTCACCCAACTCACCATCCTTGACCTCTCCGACAACAACATCCACGGCCCAATTCCTTCTCTCTCCTCCCTCCCTAATCTCCAATCCCTCTCCCTCCAATCCAACTCGTTCTCCGGCTAAGTACCTCCCTCCATAACCACCCTCAAATCATTACAATTTCTTGACCTTGCTTATAATTCACTTACTGGGTCATTACCAAACTCCATGAACTCACTCACCAGCTTAACACGACTGGACCTTAGCTTCAACAAACTCGTTGAGTCACTCCCGAAACTACCACCAAACTTGCTAGAACTCGCTGTCAAGGCCAATTCTTTATCTGGGCCTCTTTATAAATCATCAATCGACGGTTTAACTCAGTTAGAAGTGGTCGAATTCGGTCAAAACTCGCTTTTGTTGAACGAGTTACTGACTTTGCTTTTGTTAAACGATAACCTGCCCAATGTATTTGTGTGAACAGCGTGTTTATGAAACCCGTTTTTTACCATTTTTATTAAAATCGTGTTTGGTAAACGCGCGTTTCCCAAAGCCCCAATTTTTTTTTTTTAAAAGCAGTATTGGTACATCCGTAAATAAGTGTAAAAATGCTGTATTTTTGTATATATATGTTCTAAAATAGCTTTACAATAGATTCACTTCATGGTTGGCACAGAGAGAGAGAGAGAGAGAGAGAGAGAGAGAGAGAGAGAGATGAAACAACCGAAGAAAGGGGCGTCTCTTTTCTCGTTACTGCCGGAAGATTGCATATCGGCGATCATTTCGTTGACATCACCGAGGGATGCTTGCAGAGCTTCGGCGATCTCATCGGCGTTCAAGTTGGCAGCCAATTCCGACACCGTGTGGGAGAAATTCCTGCCGTACGATTATCCGGAGATCATATCGAGGTCCGTCTCTCCGGTGGTTTACTCCACCAAAAAAGAACTCTACTTTCGCCTCTGCAACTCTCCTATCCTCCTTGATGGAAGCAAGCTGGTAACCTAATTTTGCGTCTCTTCCATTGTTTTACGTCTTCTTCAATTTACTTTTTCTGGGTTTGATAACCCTTCCTTGATAATTGAATTCCTTGTAGATACAGTGGATCATGATTCGGATAATCTCAATTTTGATTTTTGTCTAATTTTATCTAATTTTTCATGGAACTTAACATTAGTAGAAGTATGTATGATCTCAAAAAATAATCTCACACACAATTAAGGATCAAAGATCCAAGAAAATAAATTAAGAAATCAAGAAAAGCGAAAGAAGAATACGAAGCTTGCGCCACTTTTAGCTCCTTTTATTCTCATAAAACAAGAATTTGGCCTCTACAATTCTTAGATAAATCAAGACTCCATCTATTGCTATAAAGAATAAAGGCTCCTAATAAACATTAACTCTAATGAGTAACTATCCCATGTGGACTAGAACTCCTAAAACCATTAATAAACTAATAACAAATTAATAAGGAATAAAACATTTGAAAAGTTTGGGTCAAACTCCAACAAAATATATGTGGTTCTTAGTTTGTTGTATATAGGATCTGTCTTAATTNAACGATTATATTAATAGATATCAACGAAAAGTGGTTATGTTTACACATGTACAAACGTCATGAGATGTAGGGGTAATATTCTAAATGTGAAGGGGTTCAAATGATTAAGTGACAAACACGAGGGGATCTAGGTATAATTTATCAATTTAATTTTAAGTGCACATTGATACAGATTTATATCTTTGAGGGTGCAAATTGAGATTTTTGATCTTTGGGGGTGTACATTGATACAAATTTCTATCTTTGAGGGTGTAAATTGAGATTTTTGATCTTTGGGGGTACAAATTGAGATTCGAACGATCTCTCAGGGTGCAAAATGAGATTAACCCTTTTTTTTTTAAAAAGCAGTATTGGTACATCCGTAAATAAGTGTAAAAATGCTGTATTTTTGTATATATATATGTTCTAAAATAGCTTTACAATAGATTCACTTCATGGTTGGCAGAGAGGAGAGACAAAGGCACCAAGAGTTTGAATACAGAGTAAAAAACAGAGAGAAAAAAAGNAATTCCATTTTATTGTAATTTAACTTTAAAAAATTGTAATTTTTGTTACGGTTCTAAAAAAATGGCTTTTGTTATAGTAAAGTGTCCCAAATTATAAATTCAATTCAATGTTTAATGAGTCCAAATTGAGTCTCGAGTATGAGCGAACTTGAGCGAGACAATCGTTTAGAGCTCCATCCGTCATATAGAAATACTAAGATATAAGTAGGATCAAACTATATCCTTGCTAGGGATCAAAGTATTTCTAATTACTTGATCTCTTCTTCAGAGAAGAACAAGCAGAAAGAGGAATCCATCTTAAAGCATTGGATTGTCATATTTCATGTGAAAGGAGATAATGCTGCATTTGGTAAGTATTAATGTTTTTCAGCAGAAATAAAATGAGTTTGGGAATAAAATGGAATGCACATTATCATTCTAATATTTGATAACTGTTTAGACTTAAGTGTTGGAATAAAATGCATATTTCATTCTTATGTTTGGATAAAATAATTTTTTTATTGGAATGAAATGAACTTTGATCAAAATATTCATAATGACTAAAAACATTAATTTTTTTTTATGAAATTAAAACTCTATTATTATCTTGAATTTGGAACTAAATTTTGGTAATATACTCCTCTTAAACAAGTACACTTATTAATTCTAAAACTCTCCAATACAATCATAAATAATATATTTTTTTTTTGGGGAG